TGATAGTTTCGGGGACCCTTCCAGCTTGAAGTTGGAGGATCCTGGAGAACAAGTGGAACTGTCCCTGTGGTACCCTGGGGGTGCTGGAAGGGGAGAACGGCCTCAGACAGGGGGTTACAAGAACTGGGCTCTGCTGATCCCCCCTACCTTCCTCCATGGAGTCCTAGGTGAGCTCAGGCACAGCAGGCAGTGTGTGTGTGTGTGTGTGTGTGTGTGTGTGTGTGTGTGTGTTAGGGAGAGGTCTCCCAGACCATAAGAGCCCACAGCTAGTGTCAGCAACACAAGAGTAGCCCCAGAACTTACCCTGATTGGTCCCAAGATCTGAGGCAGGCAATTTCCATGCCCTGATGGTGCCAAGGCTCCCTGGGGCCCACGTTGCTTACCCTCAAGGGTATCAAATGACTTCCCCAGCCAGAGTTATTCCGTCCACCCCTCTCCTTACCCACCAACACACAATAACCAATGCTAGGGGCCCAAACTCATGGCCCAAGGGCTGGGTCTGGCCTACCGGTTGGTTTTGTTTGACCTCAGTATTCTGTTCCTGAGAAACACTGACTTAATGTTTCTCATTAACCCAGCAGGCTCTGTTCCCTCTGCAGCAGTGACCACCCCTCCCTATTGTCTCCCAGCTGGTAACGTCACACATTTATATAATCTGCCTGCTCCCCGAAGGTGTCTGAGTTTGGAAACTCTGATCTAGCGTAACAGCCCATTTTGTAGATAGGGAGACTGGGGAGCTGTCGGGGGTGATCCTAGTGTTTCTGGATGAATGAGGTCAGGTTGCTTGCTCTCATGATCCAATAAGGAGATGCAGGCAGATTGAGAAAGAAGGGAGTTTATTTCTGCAACCGGTTACAGGGAGAAGGTCGGAGTAACTCACCAGACCCACTTGAAAGTACAAGTTTTTCTCCGGTGTTGTATACATTCTAAGCTGTATGCCTACGTGTGGGAGTACACCTTACCAGCGAGTAGGTCTGTTTCATTCCATCTTTATCTAATCTTTAGGGTCTAGGGTCTGGGAAGCTTTTTCTAGAGCCTTGGAAAGTTTCTTAATCTTTTTTTTTTGAGACAGAGCCTCACTCTGTTGCCCAGGCTGGAGTACAGTGACATGATCTCAGCTGACTGCTACCTCTGCCCCTGGGTTCCACCAATTCTCATGTCTCAGCCTCCTGAGTAGCTGGGACTACAGGTGCACACCACCACATCTGGCTAGTTTATATTTTTAGTAGAGATAGGGTTTCGCCATGTTGCCCAGGCTGGTCTGGAACTCCTAGCTTCAAGTGATCCATGCACCTCACCCTCCCAAAGTGCTGAGATTACAGGCATGAGCCACTGCGCCCAGCAGAAAGTTTCTTAATCCTAAATGGGCCCTGGTATGAGGTGTATGTGTAAGAATACTTTCATTATTTCATCAGACTTTCGGGTCTGAGAAAACCCAGGCGTGGTCTTAACGGGTTTGTTTTCACATTCCAGCCCTCATACTTGGACACCATTTTCTTCAGTTCTCTAATGTTTAACTTATGCATTCATCAGAATGAGAGGAAAGGGCTCTCTCTGCGTGTGTGCGAGACAGAGAGTGGCTGCTCTGGCTGCTAATGGAAACCCGGCTTGCCACACTAGGTTCATGGAATCTTAGTCCGTAGACACCTGTTTTCCTGGGCTCTGTATCCGTGGAGTAAACTTAGAACTTGCCTTGGTGCCTTTAGGTGTAATGTGCTTTGCAGATCAATAACGTTTGCAATAGGAAAGATTATTTCAAAAAAGACCTTCAAAATCAATAGTAACCTAATAAATGTTTATGTCATTATCACTAAGGTCTCATTTCCAGATCTCTGCTCCAATATCATTTCTTCAGATTGGCCTTCTCTGATCACTTGACTTAAAACAGCATCCCATCCCCTCCTCTCTTCTATTTTATTTGTCCGAATCACTTCCTGATATCAGTTTCTATCCCACCAGCTTTCTACCTGCCTGCCCTCCGGGATGCCCCATGAGGACATGGACTTGATCTATTTTATTCACTGTGGTATCCCCAGGGCCAGAATAATGTCTGGCACATTTTAGGTGCTCAAAAAAAAAAAAAAAAAAATTGTTGAAGAAGAGGGAAAATGAGGCCCTGGCCATTGCAGCCCCAGCACCAGACACCTTCCCTATAGCAGTTTCTTGGGTTGTTCCAGGGGCTTCTTGGGGTCATCTTAGAGTCCCCTAGTCATTGGGCAGCGGGCTCTACCCTGCGTGGGGCCCCGTTTCAGGCCAAGGGGGGCCGGCCTCCCAGGTTTACGTCCTCTTCCAGAGGAGAAGGGGGCAGTGATGTCACAGAGGTCTGCCACCCTCGCTCCTCCCCAGTCTGACCGATCAAGGCTGAAATCCCAAGTTCAAAGCGACCACAGCGTGGGTGTGCAGGTTGTGGTGTTCGTGAGCTGTAGGCAGGGCAGGGGCCCAGGCGGGTCATGGTGTCTTAAAAGAATGTTCTTTGAGCTGGAAGAATGAAAAAGGGAGGCGGGGAAGGAATAGCAGAGGGTGGGGAGAGAAGCCAAAAGGAGGAAACGCATCTTATTTTTCCTTGAAGACAGAATAATGAGGGTGACTTCATTTTTTTTTTTTCTCCAACAGTAAAAATGTTGTTTGCTCATGAAAGTGATTCAAACAATACACAAAAGCATGGGGAAGAAATGACCTGATATTCTACCTCCCAGGGATCTAGTCAACAATCAGCCCACCAGGGTCAGATGGCCTGGGCTCAAATCCCGATGGGACCAACTTCCAACTGTTGACTTGCGAGGGTCCTCAACTTCTCTGTGCCTCAGTTTCTTTCGCTGTAAAATAGAGATGTGCCAATCCTCCTCTCCTCCTCCCTGCTTACCTTCTGCTCTTCCCTCCTTGCCGCCTTTCTCTTTCTTCTATCTCAAAGAACATTCTTTTTTTTTTTTTTTTTTTTTCCGAGACAGAGTCTTGCTCTGTTGCCCAGGCTGGAGTGCAATTGTGCAATCTTGGCTCACTGTAACCTCCACCTCCCAGGTTCAAGCAATTCTCCTGCCTCAGCCTCCCGAGTAGCTGGGATTACAGGTGCCCGCTACCACATCCGGCTAATTTTTGTATTCTTAGTAAAGAGGGGGTTTCACCATGTTGGCCAGGCTGGTCTCAAACTCTTGACTCATGATCCACCCGCCTCGGCCTCCCAAAGTGCTGGGATTACAAGCATGAGCCACTGCGCCCGGCCCAAAGAACATTCTTTTAAGACACCATGACCTACCTGGGCCCTTGCCCTGCCCACACTGGCCAAGGGCACATCCTGCACATCCATGTGGTCTATTTGAACTTGGGATTCCAGGCTTGATTGATACCTGCCACCCAGTATTATTGTGAGGATTAGGTAAATGAATACATAGAAAGGTCTTAAAACAGTGGCACATGGTGAGGGCCACATATGTGTTTGCATCATCGTTATTGTTGTCATCATCACCATCATCATCATCATCTTTTTAGACAGCTCTTTATGCACCAGCCTGCCTTTCTTCCTCCCTCCCTTTTTCCTGTCTTTCACCTATCCATCTGTCTGTCCATCCATCCATCCATCTATCCATCCATCCATCCATCCATCCATCCATCCATCCATCCATCCATCCGTTTAATCTTCTCTAATGGGAACACACCCATATGTTCTGCAGGAACCTGCTTTTTCCATTCCGCATTCCATTCCATATGAAATGGACACGATTATGTCAATAAATGCTATTAAACAAAACGACTGAGGTCCTGGTAAATTGGGGTTTGGGGTTTGGGTGATGGAAAACCATCCCTGAACACCTGTTTCCCTGAGTTCTGTATCCATGGGGTAAAATTAGACTTTGTCTTGGTGCCTTTAGGTGTAATGAATTTACAGATCAATAATATTTGCAATAAGAAAGATTATTTCAAAAAGATCTTCAAAATCAAAAGTAACCAAAAAAATGTGTATGCCATTTTAACATTTCCTGTTTCCCTAATCAGGCTGGGGTTCCTGCAGGCAGGGACTGTGTGTCCCCCACATCTTCCATCAGACTGACAACTCCTCAGGCAAGGCTGTTTCTCCTCTGTCTCTCTCTTTCTTGCTCTTTGCTGCCCTCCCACCCCAGCCCTGTGGACACCAGAGTTCTGGTTTCTGTGCCCCCTTTCCCACTCTGTATAACAGCCCCCTGGAAGGAGAGGACCACATTACTGAGGAGGGGTGTCCTGTGATTCCAGAGGGAACGGCTCTTCTCATTACCCCTGATGCCCGATATGAAGGGAACATGTCACCTGCAATTCACCACCTCTACCCCAAGCTTTGGCTAACAGATATCTCATGTTGAATGAGTCCAACAGAGAATGGCCAAGCTCCCTGCCCTGCTTTCCTTCCTGCAGTCTTCCCCATCTCTCTGATGACAACTCCATCCTTCTAGTTGCTCAGGTCTCAAATACTCCAGTGATCCTTGACCACTCTCTCTCTCACACCCACATCCAACTCATCAGCAAACCTCATCGGCTCTACCTTCAAGATACATTCGGGATCCAACCACTTCCCACCACCTTCCCTGTTACCCTGGGACCAAGTCACGCCATCCCTCGCTTGAATAATGGGAAGAACCTCAGTGCACCATCTAATGTCATACCCACTTTACTCATTTAACTTCACCTATGGTCTGTCTCCCCCAGAATATAAATGTTGTCAGAGTAGGAACCATGGTCTTTTTTGTTCATAATTGTATCCTCACCACCTAAATGAGTGCCGAACACATAAAAGATGATTAACAAACACTTGTCAAATTAACAAATGAAGTTCTGCAAAGAGCCTCAGAGCAGGCTGAAGCTTGCTGTGCTGAGCTGAAAGAAGAGGGATTTTCAGGAATGAGTCCATGCTCCCAGGTCATTACTCTGAGCTCTTTTTCAAGTTCCCTCCTCTCTGGCTCCCCAAGCTTGCCTGGGGTGGCTTCTGCTGTCTGTGGAGTCTGGGCACAAGGGCCTTCCCTCACCTGGGGGGGCGGGTGGTATTGTGTGGTGAGACGGGTGAACCTGCATGGAATTCTAACTCTACCACTTACTAGCAGTGAGACCTGCAGCCATGATTCTCTTACCTGCAAAATGAGGATAAAAGTCATAGTTGTTAGCATTTTAGTGAACACCAAGAGCCAGGAGCTGTGCTAATCTTCTTACATATAACTCATGTCTTTCCCACATCAACACAGTGGGACAGGTACTACTGTTACAGCTGCCAACTTACACATGAGGCAGCTGAGTCACAGAGAGGTTAAAAGATTTGATAAGGATCACAGGTGGTTAGAGGCAGAGCCCGCACATAGTCAGTCCTCAGAAACACTGACATCATTGCAATAGGGGTTCAGGCACAAGGAGTCTTTGGAGGGGAAGATGGGGCTGCTGGGGAGCTCTGGAGGGTCTCCTGTTGGCAGCTGAGCCCTGCTCCACCCGGGGCCCCCAGCTGAAGCTCCCCTTCCCCATCTCCCAGAGAGGCCATGGGCACCCTGACCTCCTGGATTGACAGCCCTGAATGAGGAGGGTGTGGAGCCAGGAGGTGGGGACCAGGCTCAGGCAAGCTAATCAGGTTGCAGGGTGAAATTAAAAGGGAGGAGGAGGCACCAACCCGTCAGAACTCACACTTCTTCCCGGCGAAGAAGTGCCCAGGACGGGAGCTGGGGAGCCGGAGCTGTTTTAGGAGGCTGGGAGCCAGGTGACAGGATGGCCCCAAAGAGAGCTGCGCAGCTATCCCTGAAGATGCCTACCCATGCTGTGTGTGTGGTGGGAGTCTCGGCACAGGTGGACATTCACAGGTAAGAGCTGGGAGGCACTCACCTGGCTACAGAGAGCTGATTTAGAATGGAGGTCAATGGGGTGGGTGCCTGATAGACAAGTCAGGCACATTGGAGAGGATGCTGGCAGGAGATAGCAGAGAAGGTGGAGTTGGCTATGGAGCCTGGGAGGAAGGAACTAGGGTCTGGTCAGGTCCTCCTTGGGGCCCCAGCTTCTGGGCACTGGGCTCAGGACATTGGCCTCAAGCCCCTGGATAAGAGTCCTCTGAGCCCTCGGGTCGGGCTTTGGGATCTGGGCCCTGAATTCTGACACCTAGGTAGAACTTGTGTGGAACATCAGATGGCTCAAGACGGGGAAGAGAACTGGTCCCCCCATCCCTCAACTTCTTGCCAGGCCCCCATCTCTCTGAGGCAAAGGGACATGTGTGGTAGCTTGATCCTTGGAGGTCAGCCAGGGGTAACTAGATTGATTCCAAACAGGAGGGAGTGGTTAGGAAATATTCAGTGAATTAATATGAGGAGAGAACCTGGAGCAAGAAGGCTGGGGATCGTGTTTGCTGTGACATGATGGTGATGACAGTGATTATGGTGATGAACAGTGATGATGGTGATGATGGCGGTGATGGTGGCAATGATGACATCTGAGGAGGCAGCAGTAGCATTTGCTTCTCCTGTTGACCCAAATCTTTCCTGTGCTGGCTGTGCCCAGATGGGGACTCGGAGACTAATTTCCCTACCTGACCACTAAGGGAATTGGGTTTGGTGATCTCTGGCGGCACTTCCAACTCTGACAGGCTGTCTATGGATTCCATCCCTGCTGGACCAGGTGGGGTTGAACCCCTTGCAGATAGGGGGCTCGTGGTGGGAGTCTCCCTCAAAGAGGAGCTGGGGGCTGGGGGTCTGTTACTGGGTGGGATCTCAGCTCCTATTTCCCTCTTGGGACTCAGCCCCTGTACCTGCTGGTCTGGCTAAGGTATGCAGGACCCAGCTGCCCACCTGGCCTCCAGTGATCCTCTGCCCGAGAAGCCCTTCCTGCTTCTCTGTTGGCCAGTGGTCTGTGACCCCAGTGGCAGGGCTAGGGAGGAGAACCAGGAGCCATGGAAACCAAACCTTGACTCTAAGTTGCTGCTGGGAGCCCTGGTGTGGGGGACTGGGTCTCTCGGGTCTAGGTGGCTAGCAGAGACCCCATTGTCTCCTGCCTTGTTAACATAGGCTTGCCAGATTTAGCAAATAAAAATACAGGATGCCTAGTTGAGTCTGAATTTCAGATAAATAACAAAAAGCTTTTTTAGTATATTGCATGGGAGATATTTCTACTAAAAAAAAAATCTGCTGTTTAGCTGAAGCTGAAATCTTTTTTTTTTTTTTTTTTTTTTTGAGATGGAGTCTCACTCTGTCGCCTAGGCTGGAGTGTAATGGCGCAACCTTGACTCACTGCAACCTCTGCCTCCTGGGTTCAAGCAATTCCCTGCCTCAGCCTCCCAAGTAGCTGGGATTACAGGCACCCGCCATCACCCTGCTAATTTTTGTATTTTTAGTAGAGATGGGATTTCACCATGTTGGCCAGGCTGGTCTCAAACTCCTGACCTCAAGTGATCCACCCACCTTGGCCTCCCAAAGTGCTGGGATTACCGGCGTGAGCCACCGTGCCTGGCCGCTGAAGCTGAAATCTAACTAGGCATCCCACATTGTATCTGGGAATCTACTTTCACACCAAGAGTAGGAAAACGGTCCCTTGCAGGCCCCCTTCTTCTTATTTCAGGCTTCTGCTCTCATCTGAGGGCATGACTGTTTCTAGAAGGTGATTTCAGAACCTCTGGCTCTACACAGTGCTGCTAAGGCCAGAAGCATTTCATGGGGAGCTAGGAGACCTGGTCTTAGCTCTGCCACTGACTTCCTGCCTGATGCGGGCAAAGTTATTAGTCTTTTGTGGGTTTCATTTCCTCATCTGAGCTCCCGTGAGATAGCCGAGTCCACTCTGCAATTCACTGTGGAGGTGAAATACCCAGACTCCGGAGTCGAACACACTCCATTCTCAGGCTGGCTCCAGGCTTGGCTGTGTGACCCTGGGCAAGCTGCTGTACTTCTGAGCCTCAGTTTCCACATCTGAAAATGAAGAAACAATAAGGCCAGTTATAATGGGTTCAGGGGAAGATAAATGAGACCACGCATGTATAAGGCCCCTCGCACCGTGGGTGCCCTGGCAGTGCTCACAGCTCTGGTAGCTCTGTGAGTTCCCTTTTCTCCAGCATCTGTTCTTTCCCTCACACCTGAGAGGGTGGGAGGAGACAAGGACATCTCAGACTGCATGTGCTGGGAGCATAGGGTGTCTGTAAAGCTCCTTAGCATCCTCAAACACAGGCCCTGGCCCAGCGAAGGGGCAACAGGAAGTTGCCTGGGCTATTCAGAGCTGTTGTGCTCTGGTTGACTCTGGGAGGCAGAGGTTGCTCTGGGATCCTGAGTGAGCCCACGGGGCACCTTGACCCAAGAGCCCTTCAGGAACTTTCACCTGGGTGTTGGTGGTGACTGCGGAGTTTCTAGTTGGTCTTACTGGTGGGAGGGGGGAAGCCCCCAGAAGAGGAGGTGTTGCTTGTCACCTGAGCCGCTGGGAGTCTGAGCCCTCCAGGAGGTGGGTGTGTAGGGATGACATCACAGGAAGTGATTCATTCCCCCAGGGGCTGTGTGAACTGGTTATTTGGAGAAACATTTGTGTTTAGGGTAATTGTGTGCCCCAGGGTATCCCAGCCTAGGAAACCCTTAGGAATCCTCCACTCAGCATGTGCTGCAAGTCCAACCCCACACCCCAGTGGGCTAGCCCACCACCCTGTCCACCCCTGACCCCAGTGGGTTAGTTCACCACCTTGTCCACCCCCACCCCCCACCCCAGTGGGCTAGCTCACCACCCTGTCCACCACTGACCCCAGTGGGCTAGCTCTCCACTATGTCCACCCCCCACCCCAGTGGGCTAGCTCACTACCCTGTCCACCCCCCACCCCAGAGGGCTAGCTCACCATCCTGATGCCCCACACTCCAGTGGGCTAGCTCACCCCCCTGACCCCCACACCCCAGTGGGCTAGCTTACCACCCTGACTCCCTGGATCTGGCCAGACTGCCCTGGCCGTCCTTGTCCTTGCCTAAGGAGTTCAGGTGGCTCATGCCAATAAAGACAGGAGTGGGTAGTGTGAGGAATCCATCTGCGGTCTTGCATGGCCCTCCTTGACTGCCCAGAGGCCAGAACCAGAGCCCCAGGCTGGAGGCCATAAAAAACTTTTAATCTTTGGGATGCCGAAGGCTGGCCTTGTAGGCGACAGGGACATTCTCCTGCACTTTCCCCCAAGCCTTCCCTACGCCTGCAAAAGCAGCAATGCAAGACCGACTCGGGATCAGAGAGTGGTAGAATTGGAGGGGCACGGGGAGAAGGGACTCTGCAGGCCTCTCAGATGCATTTTCTGGAATTCCCTATATTTCAGAAAATGAAAATGCCAAAACAGAGTTTGAAAACTTGTGGTACATGTAATGTGTACATTGAGTAAATTAATGCTTTTAACTTGCACAGAAGAACGATGAGGCATAATTGTACTCCTCAGGGGAAAATTATAGGATTGACTCCGACACTAATTTCCAGCGAGCGACAGGCTGCCGGCAGCTGGCTGGACACATTCTCTGCTCCATCCTGTCACTACGGTAGGAAGGACATTCTTCACCAGAAGAAACATTAAAACTTCAAGTTTCAGGGTCCTTGGAGAATATGAAGCTGGGGTCCTCCGCAAGTTCCAAGGGACCCTGATGGGCCCGGGGGTTGTAGAACTGGACTCAGAATGGTGGAGGGTGGCATTCTTGAAACATAAAATATTGACATCAGGAAGGGCCTCAGAGGTCAGCCACCCCTTAATTCTGTGGAACGCCCTGCTCTCCTGGGTCCTAGCTGCCACTTGCCGTTTTGGGACTGGCTGGGAATCTCTCCCCCTCCTTCTGGCCCCCAGGCCCTCCGCTTTCCGCCTCCTTACTCCTTCCTGGCATTTCCTGGATCCTAGTCTTGGAATGTCTCCTCACTCCGAGCCTTCTCCTCTTCCCTTCTTAACTCCCATCCCTTTTACCCCCAGCTGGTCTTTGCAGGCTGTGTGATCTTGGGCCAGTCACGTAGCATCTCTGAGCCTGTTTTCTTCCACGTCACTCCCAATAGGAGTGACATCCCTTATTGCTTGTACCTTCGAAGCTGGCACCTTTATTTTTTCCATTTCATTTTATTTTTATTTTTGAGATGGAGTCTCGCTCTGTTGCCCAGGCTGGAGTGCAGTGACATGATCTCGGCTCACTGCAACTTCTGCCTCCCAGGTTCAAGTGATTCTCCTGCACTCCTCAGCTCCCCAAGTAGCTGGGACTACAGTTATGCACCACCCCATGTTTTTAATGGAGACAAGGTTTTGCCATGTTTTCCAGGCTAGTCTCAAACTCCTGACCTCAGGTGATCCGCCCTCCTCGGCCTCCCAAAGTGTTGGGATTACAGGTGTGAGCCATCTCACCCAGCATCAGTTTTTATCTTTTTTTTTCTTTTTTTTTTTTTTTTAGACATGATCTCGCTCTGTCACCCAGGCTAGAGTGCAGTGGTGTGACTATGGCTCACTACAACCTCAAACTCCTGGGCTCAAGTGATCCTCTGCCTTAGCCTCCCAAGTAGCTGGGATTACAGGCCTGAGCCACTGCACCCCCGCCTATTTTTTCCATTTTGCATTGAGGAATTCCACAATCCAAAGAACACGGACACGCTTTGGGGAGAGGAGAGGTGACTCACGACTTGGACTCTAAATTCAGGGCCCTATCTCTCAGGGACATTCTGGTCCCCAGCCCCTGTTTACCTCTTCTGGGAAGACTAGTGAGTGAAAGTTGTCCCTCTTCTCCAGCCTCCATTCCTGGCTGGGTAGAGCTCCACTTGGGAGAAGGCTAGTTCAACCTGTGCCCTCAGCCTGGGCTCTCTGGGCGTGCCCCTCCCCAAGCAATGACAGGGCATAAGGCACCCACTA